CTACTCCCCTTGCCCTTTGCCCACCTGGAAGTTGCCCACCATGACAAGGCCAGCAGCATTGGTACAGCCCGTGACAAGGGCCGTGGTGTTGATCCAGGAGCGCTGGCTCTGCTCCAGCAGCTGCCCGTAGCGCAGGACACAGATCACCACCACTGTGGGTGACATGTGTTATCACCTCCCTGCCCCTCCTGGAGGCAGAGAACCTCCCCAACAGCAGGGGGGCAGTTACCCCTTAAGCAGTGGAATGGTTATCAAGTTTACATAATAATATATGAATGTTGTAGTCCTAAAATGTCATATCAAAGAAGAAGCAGGAGGCATCTACATAACCCCCACCTCACCCCTATGGACACAGCCTGGCACAGGTAGGTTCCCTCCCTGGTAGTCAGTGTTCTCCCTTTTTTGATTTAGCACCGTTCGCACTGAAGCCTACTGATGATAGCTCTTGTATCCTCGTTACCCCTCAGATTCTTTTGGAGATGAAGGCAACCGCTTAGCTTGGGTAAGAGGGTGCAGCTGGATATGCTGCCACTGTGGAGCCCCTGCTCACCACAGGCAGTGCCAGCCCAGGGAGTTTAGGAGCCCTGGGCAGGGGAGACAAGCACTCACCCATGAAGGCGCCAACGTTGCCAATGAGGCTGAAGAGGCAGCTCTCTGGGGGGTACGTGCCGCACTTGCTGTGGGGGAAAGGAGGGCAGTGAGTAGGGGCATGGCTTAGTGCTGTGGCACCACAAAGCCCCCTCTCCATGTGCCAGGGATATGCTAATTGCTCCCAGCAGGGGCCTAATAACTCCCCAGCAGGGCCAGATCCTGCCCTGGCTGGTGGCTCCATAGCAGTGAGCTCTGACCCCTGAAGTCATGCCCCTGGTGCCCCCCCAGCCTCACCTGATCAGGGGGATGTCTTCTAGGGTGCAGCAGGTCTTGGGGGTCCCTGGCTGAGCCAGCTCCGTGGGGCATGATTCATTGTAAGACCTGGAAGGGGGACAGGAGATGGGCCTAAGTGAGGGGGGGCACAGCTGGGGTGCCCCCTGCCCCTTCCTGGGGGGCAGGGAGGTGCTCAGTGTGGCTGGGGGAAAAGGCAATATCAGGTGTGTAGTATGACTCACCAGTTCTCCACAGGGCACACATGGTGATTCATGACAGCCATGGCATACCTGCAGGCACAGCTGGGTCAGGGGGAATGGGGGGGCACAGTGCCCCCTTGCCCCTCTGCAAACTTTCCCCTCCCGTGGGCATCCAGCCTGGTGGTTGGAGCCTGGATGAGGGAGAACCCTTGCCTTGGAATCCCTGGGATCTTGGTGCAGGACTGGCTAGACAGTGTGCGGTTTTGCATCAGTCTGTCCTGCTCCGGGTCACCTGGGTTCTGTGTCTTTATGTCAGTTTGTCCATTAGTCACTTGCCAGAACACCTGGGTCTGTGTGCATGTTTTCAAGTCCATCTGTCCTGCTCCCAGACACCTGTGTTCTGCGGGTATTTTTGTGTCTGTCTGCACAGCCACTCCTTGCCACAACACTTGGATTCTGTCTTTTTTTTATCTCCCCCTCCCTGGAGGCTTGGGTTCTCCTTGCATTTTAGTGTCCATCTGTCCCACTCCCAGATGCCTGGGTTTTGCATGGGTTTTCATGTCTGTCTGTCTACCTGCCCCTTGCCAGGACAGCTGGGTTGTGTGTCTCCTTTCCTGTTTGTCTCCCTCTCCTGGATCCCTGGGTTCTGCATGCAGTTTTGTGTCCATCTGTCCTGCTCCTGGATGCCTGGGTTCCATGAGTGTTTTCATGTCTGTCTGTCTGATCTGTCCCTTGCCAGGACATCTGAGTTATCTGCGTCCTTTTATATTTGTCTGTCTCCCTCTCCTGGGCGCCTCAGTTGTGTGTACGTGTTTGTGCCCATCAGTCCATCTGTCCCTTGCCAGGCATCTGGGTTCTGTTGTCTTTTCCTGTCAGTCTCCCTCCCTCTCCCCAGACACCTGGATTCTGCGTGTCACTTTCATGTCTCTTCTGTCCTCTTCTAGGACACCTGGGTCTGCGTGTCCTTTTGCGTCAGTCTCTCCCTCACTCCCAGATACCTGGGTTCTAGGGCGGCTCCTGGCTGGCTGTCTTTCCCTCCCTCCTCCAAAACACCTCCAGGGGAGGGGGTGTCCAACCACCCCTGCTTTACTGCACCCCCTGCAACCCCAACCCAGAGATGCCTGGTTGTGAGGGGCCCTGGACCTCTGCCTCCCATCCCAGAGCCTGTGCCCAGAGATGGGAGCTGGTGGAAGGGGGATCAACCCCTAACTGCCCCGTTCCATTAGGGCCCGAGTCCAGGCCCAGGCTCCCTCTGGTGGCCGCAAGTAGTACTGTGGGGTGAGGCAAGGACATGGGGTGGGCAGGTTGCAACCAGATCTGGGAGGGGCCCTGACCCCCCCCCCC